CCCCCCCCCCCCCCCAACACCCACCCCGCCACGTGACCGCGCTATAGCGGGGCGGCGGCCCCTCACGTGATACCGGGCGGGGAGCTGTCCGTGGTGCTGAACGACCGCGGGTGTACAGGGGGCACCTGGTGGCGTGTGGGGAGGGGGGGATGGTGGAGGCACATAGGAGTGCCCAGATGGGAACGTTGGGGGTAGGTGAGGGTGGAGGGGTGAGTGCCTGGATGGGGGGACGTGGGGTGGTGGTGGTGGGGAGATGCCCATGGGAACGCGTGGGGATGTTGGTGGGTGCCTGTGGACACGGGGGCACAAGAGTTGGTTGGTGGTGAGATGCAAACGGAGGCGTGCGGGGTGGGAGGTATTGGAGAGAATTTGTTCGGGATGTATGGAGGTGTGAAGGGTGAGCGCTTTTTATGGGGTCCATAGGACTGGGAGAGTGGAAGAAGGCTGAGTGCCTGTGGGGGGTACGTGGGGTTGGAGAAGAGATCAATGGGTGCCAGGTGTGAGCACTGCAGCTGAGCCCCCTCCACGCTGTGCTCCTGGACACGGACCTGTACCAGGCCCCCCCCCCCCCCAAACAGTCCATGGGCTGCTTCTGCTCTGCACTTCATGGGCGTTTCCATGCGCAAAGTGAAGGCAGCGAACTCCTTGGGGTGAGTCACTGCGTGAGAGCAGCTTACAACTTTACTTCTGAAGCTTAAATACACTTCTGGAGTGCAATATTCCTTCTCTAATAGAGCACAAAAGATGTTCTCCTCCTGGCCTTGTCGCTACACACAGATACGCACCTCTGGCTGCAGGTTGGAGTCATTTGTTTGCCTTTTCCTCCCTCCCTGCTGGAGCTTCCATCAGCAGGCACTTGGAGCTCAGCAATCACTTCATCTTGCAGAAGTGCTGCCTCTAAAATTAAAATTCCTGTATGAGGTATCAATGTTTCAAGAGAAGGAAAGAAAAGCATCAAGTAGAACTTGAGCGCGCAGTGAGAACCCCTTCAGTCACGCTCTGTGCAGAGCTACCCAAAAATGAGGGCTCGGCTGCTTTCGGCAGGTCACCCAAAAGGCCAAAGGATTCTTTGAGGTTGCAATAAAGGGGCTCCCAATGACCCCCAGATGCAGAAAAAGCTCACGGCAGAAGCTGAGCGGCCTTGAGGGCTGGAGGGACGGGGAGCATCTGCTTCCCCCTCACTTTGTGCATGGTGCGTTCTCTAAATTTCTTTATTGAATCATTGAGAACGGCTGCAATGTTCAGTTCTCCACCCAGGCTTGCACCAAGGCTGGGAGCAGACAGAGCTGTCTCGCGCCTCAAAGCACCACCCCAGGGCTGCTGCCGAGCATCTCCCTGATCTGATGGCCACTGAGCACCCCCAGGAGCCCCTAGGAATCAGGCAGTGGTGTTTTGGGGCTGCTCTGCCCCCCAGCCGATGGGGAGTGGCTCAGGCACAGAGTGCTGCACCGTCACAGCCGCGGTGCTCAGCTCGGTTCATCCATCGCCACAGCCCACGGCCAGCACTGGGGCTGGTGA